GTACGTGTCTCTCTCTCTCTCTCTCTCTCTCTCTCTCTCTCTCTCTCTCTCTCTCTCTCTCTCGCTGCCTTATAAATTTATTGCGCACCCGCAGTTATGTAAATCGCCCGCTTATAAGATTCAGAATCAGCCAATTCGTTCGCAAGATGTTACTTGTGGACGATCGATACGTTCGACGATTAATGCCGATGCCGATTTATTTCAATTTTAAGATAGTTCTCAAGTATTCACTCAAGTATTAAGTATCATATCACATTTTACGCTTTTGCTGCAACGTGATGTTATTAGAAATAAAACAATTTATTATATTCTCGTTCCTACCTTTTCTCAATAAAACGCTATTATATATTTACGTTCCAATCAACGTACAAAGGCAAAGTCAAAATAATAATGTAGTCATTGCAAAATTTATTTGAGAATTACATAAAGAAAGCCTTTTATGAAAAAAATTTCGGATGATGTTTCGAAACGAACTTTGTCCATTGGCAAAAGCCCTTTGCAGTCTCTCGTAAACGAGATTTTCGTTATGAAAAAAGGGATCTACTATTTTACGAAATTATTTGGAGAAAACTTTACGAGGGCCCTTTACAGCGGCTCGATCGATTTCGAGACTCAAAGTTTCGTTGCAAAAGTCTGATCGCGTAAAAGCTCTTTTACGAGCAGTTTAATACTTGGAAGCTACTAAAGGCGCATTCGCGCTTTTCCTTTTCTTCGCTACTGATATGTAGACTCTAAACTTGTATCGAGTTTTTATATCTCCACGATTTGTATGATGTATAATATATTATGCCATTAAATGTTTATTAAATAGTAAAAATCTTAGCAAATTGTTCAATAAATTAGCAGAATATACGAATTGCACATATCGAACTCAGCTAATCCAGCGTCTTTGAGCTCTTTAATCTCTGAAATCTCGTTAATCGATCAGTCGATAATAACAATTGCGCGCGCGCAATCATGGCGATAATTATAATTAAATCGTGTTATTCAGTGGATTGCTACGAGATCGTTATTTAATTGGCGATCAATTGAGTGATTGTTTTGCCTTTAAATTGTATTTTACATCATCAGGAATAGGCAAATGAAGTAGCGTTCTATTCGAGTGACCGGTAAACAGGAGCCCAAAAGTTCTCTTATCGAGGGATCCAACACGCGGCCTAAAGATTTAAGCCACTTCGGTAGTTTCTTGGCCGGCGACATCCTCAAATTATACGGCGAACGATAAAACGAATCCTCCGCGAACTTCTCCTGAGTCGGGTCTTAGAACAGAAGCCTCCGGGGGTGCTTCTTCTCGTTTAAATATCGCCCTAATCTCGTTGGCCGGAACCCACCATGGCCTCTCTTCCCTCCTCCCTCCCCTCCCCTCTCTCTATCTCTCTCTCTCTCTCTCTTCCCCTCTTCTCCCAATTTCTTGTGCCTTAATTCCCCGTGAGCGTAAACTTCAGGGCCCGGATGACAAATCGCCATGGTCGCGGATTATCCGCGGACGAAAAACTAATTAAACCGAAATACCGCGGCGACGTCGCGCCGACCGAAACTCGGCGTGGATCGAGCGGATTCCGTCGGCCTCCATGCCGACGGAATATTTTCCGGAGTCGCGGAATATTCCCGCGTTCATCTCCGCGATTCGTTCGTGTATCAAATATACGAGCCAAGGTAGGAGGATCACCGACGCCTATTACCGGGACAAAAACCGAGATTCGCCAGGATTCTCTCTCCTCCCCCCCCCTCTTTCTCTTTCTCTCTCCATCCTGCCTATCTAAATAGTTGTCGGAGTCCATAAATCGGGCTGCTTAAATCCGACTCGCTTAACCCCTTTTATGCGCGACGTATACCACGGCAGAGCGCACGAAGATTCAAAGTCCTATCGAGCATGTGATAACCGGAAGTGGGAGGAACATCCGCTCGCAGCCGGTATTCCGAAGATTCCCGATCGCCAAGTTTTAATACCTTAAATTCATGCTCTTGATTATATTGAACTTGGCTACAGTTAAAAAAAAATGCCTTATTGATTCTAATAAATGATTTCTGACATACGAGCGGTGCCGACGAGCGATCTGCCATTTTTATAGATATTTGGAATATAACGAGATTAATTCTTCGGACTTTTCGAATCTTCTTGTTTAGACCTAAATCCACGCACGGTATCTGTACAATGACAATTAATTACAATTTCGGCGAAATGTAGCCGATATTCGTTATACATACAGTTTGTTAAATAGAACTTAATTCCTCGAATGTGAACGAGATTAAGATGCGAATGGAGTCTCTGCAGTAAGCCTTTCCATAATAAGAAACTTCGTTTTTCCCTTCGTTCTCCAGCAAGTTCTGCTCTGTATGCCGACGACTACGAAGATTAAAAATTGTAAATTCTTCCATTTGTTATTTTGGCATATTTGAAAACATGGGCTATTAGGGAAGCGTCATGACATTATATATCTCGGAGAAGATATCTACTCTCAGAGAATCTCTAGTGCTGGACCACCGCGCATCTCACTCTAAGTACATTCTAAGACGGACTTACCTCGTTAGAGATTAAGCTTAAGTTCCTTCCGACAAAGTGTCACATTGTCTCGTCCTTATCATGGCAATTGACTTTGGCGCGTATCGCGTCGGCTGTGCGTTCGTCTGTAAGCCGCTGCAAAAAAAAAACATTTTACGACGACTTGCAAACTGCGCGAGAGCGGTTTCCTCGCTAAGTCGTTTGCATAAACTCCGATGTGGATGTTTGCTATTCCTTCTGTCTGTTACTGCGTCGATCTCGGACGAGGTATGACGCTTTAATCTGTCTTTGCGAATATATTTTTTGGCTAGTTTGCAAAGAGACCTTCGTCACGAGCTTTTATCGCCCGAGATTTTTTTCCCTTCCGTATCTTCCTTACTTATCCCTAATGTGAATGAAAATATAAAAAAGGAATTTGGATTAGTGGCTTGTTGCGTTATCCCGCGGAACACGAATCTAGAGAAGAAAATAAGTTCCTGCAAGATGCATCATGTCAGAAGGGAACGGGCCGCACGCGTACCGACTTTGTGATGAAAGAAAAAGAGGAATAAACGAGGGTGGAGGGAGAGGAAAAAGAGAGAGAGAGCTGAATTTTCTTTCCATGCCACTAATAGAAGTGTCACGAACAGAGTCGGATCTTATAATCCGTTCGTGCTAATTTCAAACCGCATCGGGAATACCCGAGAACACGAAGAGCGATCGGACCACAATTTTCCCAGATTTTGTCGTCTCTCGGAAGCTTTAAACTTTTCAAACCGTTCGTGGAGCTCGTCGCACGAAATTCCTAAAACTACAGATTAGGACATCTCGACTTTTACCTCGACTTGTCACCAACAATTCGATAATCAAATACCTTTTATTTTCTCCTCCATATTTATTACATAGTATGCTCGTAATAACTTTTAATGTACATTACGGAAAGGATATTTATGCGAGCTGAATTTTCATACATTAAGTGAATATTTGGAGGTACACATAAACAAAAAAATTTTTGAAGATTTTGAAAAATTAGTATATGAAAATTATCTTCTTTGTTAAGATTTTCATCAAACATTTTCCAACTATTGATTAATAAAGTATACAAAAATAACATCATCAAAAACTGCTTTTAACTTTGTAAAACTATACATTACGCATATAATCTTGTATCGTGATCTGGAGAGCTTTCCGTGTTCTTGGTTAACATTACGGACCCTTAAAACGATTAAGAACGGTCCGTTAAACGCACTCCGTCGGCCAGAGATAATTAAAAAGGTAATGAGTAAGCGGATATCTACTCGTAAGAGAAGAGAGAACGGTACGACTTAAACGCGGTTCGACAGGCGACCGATAAAATAATGACGCAGACGAAAAATCAATCTTCTCTGCAGATAGAGTTTCTCTGATACTGGAAGAAGCTCGAACTAACTCGATGCTAACTCGTATCAGGTGTGCAACAACGCTAATAACATCGGAAATGCAACAAAACAAAAGATTAAAAATAAAATTTTCAAATCTTTAAACGTCCAGTATGATAGATCACTTCTGTTTTGTTATTTTATTTATTAACTAAATATTTTTATTCATTGACATTACAAACTTTTTTTTTAGAATAGAATAGCGACGAAGCAAATAGAGAAGTATGAAAACTATTTGCGATAATAAAATTATCTAAATGCATTTAATTATTGTGTTAAAAAAAAATGATCGAGAAGGCATTCGGTATACATACAATACATGTACATATGCCAAGAATTCGTAGAGATCTGGCTATTTGTTCTCTCTGTTATGTTCGCATAGGAAAATATTGGCTTCTTCATGTGATCTAACGGAACAACTCGATTTCTTTTATGCTACATGAAAAATATTTTTCAAATCCAAGTTTTCCTGCACCGGAGGGAAAATAAAGGCATTGCTTATCATCAATGAAGAAAATCTTCCTATCTCCTATACTCGACTTTTGTATTATCAGGTAGAGTATACTGCTTGTTTTCGAAACGTAATTTATCTTCATCGTATTGTAGTACATAGTTCTTATTGCGTCAAAATATGATATTATGTTTCATATATGTCACAAAATCAAAATTACAAAACTTTTGTATTTTTAAAGTAATTCAAAATCTTCTTAGCAACTAAGTAATTAAGATTTTTCTTTTTTATATCTTTTTATTACATTAATATCAAACATTGAATAATTAAATATTATGTATTCAAATTCTATTTAAGAAAAGTTCTTCAGATGTTAAATAAAAATAAGAATTTATCTATCTACTTGTTCTAAAAATTAATTTGCATATATAATTACATTTATACTATTTATTTCAATACAATCTTCAAATTTTTACTATCTATATAAAAACACTCAACATAATATATACGTTATATTTTTCTCTTTATTTTTGGTTATTAATTACATGGTTATTAGCTTACAGCGATTACAAATTAATATATTAAACATATTAACAACTCATGTGGCACACAAATTTTAGGTTCATATTATCGCATACGATCACACAACAGCGAAAAGATTACGAGATCACGCAATCTGTAATGATCAAATCAGCCTGTCATTAGGACGAGAATCAGGATCTTCGGGAAAATTGTCTATAGTCCTAACCGACTCCTTCGTAACACCTAAATTTTTATTTTTCCTTCGTGGCGGCGTAGGCATTTGCTCCAAATCTTCCATCGCGTCTTCTATACTTTGAAACAGAGTATCAGGTTTCTCATGCGCTTCCCCCACAGAGCTCGTGCTATCCTTCATATCGGTCTCGGTACCTTTGAAAAAGTCGAAGCTCGATCCTAGCTCCGACTTAACGACAGAGTCCTTGAAATCAGAACTCTCGTTTAAATTCTGTGACGTTTCCGATTTCTCGTCATTTTTCAAATCGACGTCCATCATCACCTTCTCTTCCCATGTACAGAAGGACACTTTTCTCTTCTTCGGTGCCTCCGTCGAATCTCCAAGGAGCTGCTCCGAAGACACGGACGACCGATCTGTCTTATTCTCAAGCGTACTATCGACTAGAATGTCATCATTAATTGAACGACATTGATCCGACATACTTTTGTCGATCGCGTTGCGCTTCTCCACAGGTACGATTTCCGGCTCGAGAAGTTTCTCCACGGGGCTCTGTTTGCATTCCTCGTTCGTGTTCTCTCGCCTGGTAATTTCGTCAGGTTGATCCTCCTTCTCCAGCATATCCGAAAGCGCTGCCTCGAGCTCGGTGAGGCTCGGCGTCATCGAACTGAGATTACTTCCGTCAGCCACCTCATCGTTCAGAACCATCAGCAAGGTCGAATGATCGTTGTCCAAAATCTGGGCTTTGATTATTGGCTCCGGGCTCGGCGGCGGCGTCTTCACTCGCTGATCCTGGCAATCCTTCTTCAATTTGTTCGTCGCGTCCTTGGCCAGCTTCTCGTCGAAGAAATCGACGATCTCTTCGTCGACCCCCTCCAGCATCTCCTGCGGCAGCGACTCCTCCGATATCGTTCTGATTAACTTGTTCGTTACGTCGGAGTGTGCACGCAACTCCTTCGCCTCGTACGGATCGTCGTATGGCTCGCTCTCGTTCGACAGGCTACGGCCAAAGATCAGCCTCGATTGGTCGGATCGATTGGATTCCCGGACGATGGCGCCGTTCCTGCAGGACCCTTCGATCGTATCTGCCAAATGGAACGTCCGCGGTTTAACTAGTCACGTACGCGAATAGTTGGGTACCTTCTAGACACTCCAGACGATTACCCAACCGACCGGGATAGAATCCAAGAGCGAATAAGTGCACGGAGAGAGGGTGGGCGCGCGGAAGTTGCGGTCGGACATATATTCGGTTTACATAGCCGACGATTTCTTGTAAATAGGGAGAGGAATTTCACTCATCGTCACTTTTTCCGCTTACCGAGATTCGTTTCTAGACGGAACGATTACTCTCGTTTCTTGCGGATCTTATGGAACTTTAGACCAGGGAAATTGCGATGAAATTTTTGGAAAGAGAATTTAATTAATAGGAGAATCTTTTTGATCAAAGGCATTTAACGATTTCCAAAAGTTGGAATTAAATTATTTAATTTGATTATCTTATCGTAAAAATTTTTAGAATATTAATACACAATATAAAAATTAATTTTAAGTCAGTAAATTATAAAATGGACATTTAACATATTAATGATTGAAATCTTTTAATAGGCGTGTTATAGATGGTATACATGTTTAATTATTATTGATTTTTACCAAAAGCTGAGCAATGAAGTTCCTCGTTTAGAAAAAATGGCTCCCTACGAACCGGTGAGCTCGCTAACTCGCAAGTCGGTGATACTTGACAGATTTCTGACATTTTAGGCGGATCAAAATGCCTTAGTGATCTGAAATAAATTCGTCGCATTACGTACCAATTCTCTAAAAATGTACAATTTCACGCAAGAGATACATCAATCTAGATACCTACCTGTTTTCATCTGTTATCCAATCCTCAGGATACTTTGATTCTCTATCGGAATCAACCGTCGATGATGCTACCTTGCCGAACGATTCGGGTTTCTGCAACGACGGAGAGATATCTCGAACACATGAAATCTTCATCTCAGTCGTCTCAGCATCCCCGACCCCGGCATTTCGCGGGTAGTCGACAACATCTACACTCTCGGATAGTCCATTCTCCGCAGACTCATCGTCGTGGATTTCAATCCGCGGCGTGTTCTAGAATCCACGTTGAAAATATACGACTCAATGCGCACGTATTTTTCTTTTCTTTCCTTTATATGGAAATGTTCGAATCGGTTACATAGGGAAACCAGTGTACTAGTCAGGTTACGAGAAAATGCGGAAAAGCAGAAAAGTTAATTATCTCCTAATTAAAATGGCGCGACGTTCCGCGATGAGAATGGATTAGCAGAGCATTTGAAATCTACTCCGCTTTCGAAAGTAAATATACGTTTCTTGATGCGATTAGTTTCTTCGTCCGTTCGAAGTACCAGCGCTAACGGACGTCAGCTTAATATCGATTTCAACGCGGCTCGCTTTGTAAACGTTACCTCGACGGAGAGTCGCTGATTCGAATCGCAATTACTGATGTCACTGAGGTCCCAATCCTCCAATTTACTCGGATCGTACTTCATGAATCCGCCGCCGGTGACCTCGTTCTCGCTCGAGCCCAGCTTCCCCAGCACCTGATACAGCGACAGGTGCTCGATGCTTCCACGTCGTGGGATGTAGTCCTCCAGACATACGCTGGTTTTCTACAATCAAGAAGTAACACGAGTGTAATCTATGCCTTAGTCCTATAATCCTCTCTTGGTACGTCGACCCAGCGAGTATATACATCAAATTAATGTCACGAAAAATATTACTAAAGCTCAAAGGAAAAATTACTTATGTTATTATACAATTGTGTAATAATCTAAAACATTTGAACGGTGATAACAATCTTTGTTCAATCACTACATTTTTTTTTTTCATAATTTAACGTTTTGAAATTCCTGTGTTTGATCGGTGAAATAGAATAGCAGAGAATGATTATATCGGAACCTCGGAAAAGGGCGACAGGAAAGATTCGGCCGGAAGCGAGACAGTGCTGCTTCTGACGGGTCTTTTCAACTTCATTTTCTCCCCTGCATCTCCCTCGTCATTTGCCGTGCTTTTCACAGGGTGCCTAGACACGTCCAGCTCGTCGTAATTCGGCAAGCTAACGGTGCTATAGTTCTTCATCCTTGTATTTGCTTCCGGTCTGTCGTCGTCCCTCGAGGAATCCCTGATCCGCTTTTCGAGCTCCTTCGACTTCCGTCTGTCCTGGCGATTAGGAGTCGAAGAGTCCTTGATCGACTGATTCCGGGCAAATCTCTCGTATTCCTCGTTCTCAAGAACTTTCCGGTGATGGTGGCCCGACTCCGAAGTTCTTGAAGTTTTCTTGTCGGCGGAGGTCCTCTTGCCGGAAACCATCTCGCTGGATATTATCCTTCCGGTGCCGTTAACCTGCCGAGGGAAGTCATTACTTTCGTTATCGAAGTCGAATAAAACGAGGAATTCGAAATTAGCATAGTTCTTTAGTGCGTTGCATATATTTTCCGCTCTTTATTTTCCTTGCATAGATTAAAGTGTAATAGCGAAGTAGTGCGGTGCCGAAACAAATTAGTCTAACAATAATTTTGAATAAATTAAGTTGAAAATAAAAAGCTTCACATACACATTGCAGTGTATACAAATTTATTTTTTATTTATTTTAATTTATTTTAATTTATTTTAATTTCCCAGATAAAAAATAAAACAAGTGAAATATATATTAAATTATCTGAGTAATATTTGATTATTTTATTTACCCTCAAAAAAAAACTTAAATTATACAACACACTTTATTTTAAATTTTTTATATTTATTTCTTGAAATGTCTTTTTTTTTAAATGAATTTTTTTGTTTCTTTACATTTTTTTTATAGATAAATTTCTTAAATTTTTTCTTAATCCTTTTAATAACATGATTAAACGCATGATAATATTTAATAATATTAAAATATATATATATATATTATTTAATTCATTCTATACCGATTAAGTGCACAGGCAAGTTTCATCATTAAAAGTCTGATACATTCATTAACGTCACGCAATATGTATAATATACGTGATATATATTATTTATGAAAATAAATTATTAAACAATGAGAAAGGGCCAATGAGTGTCCGATAATGATGTGGCATTGATTCGGCTTTTAAAGAATTTGAAGAATCTCTCTATTACAATTGAGATCTAACTCGCCTTATGTTCGTAAATCTCCTTCGTCTTTCGACCGTCATGCTTCGGATCTTCCGTGCTGGTTTTTCCCGTTCCCCGCAACTCGACGTCACCATTCTGATCATTGCTGCTCGTCTGCGGCGACCTGACCGACAGATATAACGGTTCCTCGCACGTATCGCCGCGTCTCAAATTATTGGTCACGTTCTCAGGAATCTCGTCCGGTTTCGGCGGCAAGGGTCTGCCCCTGTTTCTTTTTTTTCGTCTCGGAGGCGGCACAGGCGTGATGTCCTTCGGATTGGCACCTGTAGCGTTATAGCGTTTATCTAAACGTTTGTTTCTAATCTGCGTGCTCAATCACGTGTCCGCTCTATTCGATACAGCGGCGCAGATTGAACGGCTTTAACGACTTTAATAATGCCCAACGAAAATCGGTGCGTCATTACCCGCGTCGTCGTCGCGGCGTTAACGCGTCTCGTTAAGGATCTATGGCGGCGTAGCGATAAATTATGCCGGGCTTACGCTCGGACAAGAAACGGAAGAGGGGACCGCCACGCTGACGGTTAAATTTGCGAGAGCCAGTCTTGCTCGTGCGGCGTGCACTCCTGCCTGTTATAGCTTCATAACCGGGCACTTGAAATTGCCGTTCCGTACGAAGACGACGGAGAGGCAGCCGCTGCTATTCGTCACGGGCGACCAGCAATTTTACGCGACGTCCGCAGCGCCCGTAATTTCTATATATTCAATCTCACCGTGTCTTTAATTCTCTTAACTGTGCTACTTTTTTGTTGCGAGAGTCGCGTTCATTAAAAATTTTTAATTAGACGCTACTTTCACGCTACTTAATCCGTTTTAGATTCCGCCGCGCCGCGACGCGGCGCGGCGCGGCGGTAAATTTCGTTTCGTTTCGTTTCGTTTCGATTCGAGTCACGCGCTCTCGGCTCTTGCCTGATAACGATCCGTCGATCGTAGTACAATCTGATAAATTGTGAGCTTACAGCCGAACGTAGGTGTAGCTGCGGTACGTGGACTAGCGTCGATGCTCGAATTCGTGAAAGTCGAGCTCGCTCTAGGCGGACTGGGCACTTCCAGATTGACGTCCACCCAGTCACTGGGATGAAAGGGCCTGTCCACGGAGTCTATGCTCCGTCCTCTTGTAAGCACCTCTCTCGGTGGTGAACCGGCGTATCCTATTTCAGAACTACGCAGAAAAGATTAAATTGACTCACTTTCCCGTTGACGCGCTCTATAGCTTGGAATATCAATATATGGCAGCCAAGGACATCGAATTTGTATACATACATACAATCGATAATACATGTAATCGATCACCATATGCGAGCGTACTATGTTAAGTTTATACGAAATCGTGTGTGTGTGTGTGTGTGTGTGTGTGTGTGTGTGTGTGTGTGTGTGTGTGTGTGTGTACATTCAATCATTGATATCTCTGGTGGCTATGCTTCCTCTTAGCGACTCATAAATATGTGATATGTGTAATCAAGAGAAAACGCATATTGGATACATTTATAAATATTCAATATAATTTTAGTATACTTTTGTAACTATATTCCTTATTAAACCGAAATAAATCTTTTAAAATTAAAATTAAAATTAAAATTAAAGTATCAATGTGAATTAGCTTTTAATAGATAGAATTTTGAAAAGATAAGTTCTTTTTCTCGAAAGAATGCATTTTTTTTTAGAACAGTACAAAGCGCGCGCTTCCGCGGAGAAAGAAAAGCGAATAGAATACGAGATAAATTGTGTTATTCTTTGTGTCATGGATACGCAAGCGCGACTGGACTGTTAATTTCGTGCCACTTTCGAAACAATTTGTGTCCCTCAAAACCTGCAGCAGCCGGTGCATCGAAATAATTCGGAATCGCTACGGCGCTACGGTAGCTTATACGATTTATCGCAAATGCATTCCGTGTTTCTTCGCGTCCCCTGAGCTATAACTCTTTCGGGACGCGAAACATTACCGGAATTTCTCTCATACAGTCTTCTCCGCGTGCACGAGAGTGCCTTTCAACTCCGTACAAAATATCCCCGGCGCACGCGAACGATTTCGAAATATCCACAAAGAAGAAAGAATTCCGTTCGCCTCGCCGGAGCATCTCTTATCAGTGATTTACTCGCACATTGATCTAGCATCAAAATAGAGTGACATGACAAAAATGGTAAATTCCACGTAATCACTAAAGTGGGGAATACGAGAAATACGAGAAATTTTTTCTTCGGGAAATTAATAATAAATTTTTACCTCGCTCTTTACATAATTTATTATTACAAGGTACAAGAAATACTAATAAATTATATTCGTCAAAGCGAACAATTAATTTTCTTCTGATACGATCACCTTTTAAAATTAATAGGAACAAAGAGCAAATTTTTATTTTTACTTTAACATTTAAAAAATTATTTAATAATTCACCGATCGACCGTTTTATCCTTCGCATAATGGATATATCAATATGTGAGCACAATTGCTGGATCGGCACCAACGAGAGGTCGTAACAGCGCGTGACATGTGCAATTTATTTACTATGTTGACCCGCGCACGTACATATACACGGATCGATGTATCGTAATTTATGCCTCGGCGTGCGCGAATAATTTACGCGAAATGATCATCCTCGTTGTTCTTGTGGGCTCAAGTGAATTAAAATTCACATTGCACTGGAACAATCCGTGCCGACGAGCGGATTAATACAAGCGTATCTCCGTATATTGCGCGCGCGTTTTATCGCGAGTAGATAAAATATGCGTATATTGTAAACGTGTTTATTATCAGTACGTACGTTTTAATCGATTATTTTTAACGTTTACGTTCGCATTATGTCAAGAGACTCGCCAAATACGGATTTAACGGGTCATTAACGGGATGCATCCCACTGCAATTTTTTTGCCAATAATTAGCGGGATTGATTAACGGTAATGCGTTATTACGTTAAACATTTAGTTTTTCGCTTGTTTAATTTCACCTTTCCTGTGCTTTAATGTGAAAATAAACAGTGCTATACGCTATCGTTAATTACGGTCCGACGATATAAACGCTGGTGCAACGTCAGCTGGCCTAACGGTACGCTATGAAGAATATCTCGTCGGTTACGAAACTTTTGTGGAATTATTACGTAATTTTACAACATGTGCTCGTTTCACTCGTTATAGGGGACGTGCAATTAATAAATTTTATCGACAAAATAAACTTTCGTTATCGATAACACGTACAGATAGAAATTGACAATCGACATCGCCGTCGCGCTACGTCACGTAAGTTTGGAAACATATTTTTTTAGTTACTAATTGTTACTAATTGTACTTTACTATTACTCAATTAATCACGTTAATCAACTGAAACGTTCCATTCGTGTCGGTAGAAATTATCAATTATACAAAAATAAATGTACGAAACGTATGTATCAATTCGAGTGAAAGTACTTTAAAGAATGAGTTCACTTAACATTGAAAAAAATGTCAACGATTTTGAAGAGCGTTTCGTGAAAATCTGTATGTGTCTAAAATCTCTAAAATTTGTCTTTGGGAAGCTCGCTTTTACGTGATATACATCTACATGAGTACAGATATTCACGTACTGTTGATCATAACACGATACGAGTGGAATGCTTGTGTACATGATATGTTTGACGACAATAAATTAGAAATATTAACTTGCCGTGTGCGAAGTAGCAGACTAATCACCTGATCGTTACTCTCTCGCGGCAAAGTTATCGATCGATTTAATCGTTCCCCCCAGTCAGGTAAAAGAATTTAATAGACGTTGCCAATTGCGGTATGCGCGGAAAAAATAGGAAAAAAAAAAGAAGATCGAAGAGAAAGTAAATTCTTCCGAACAGTTATAATTGAGCAATAGCAGAGTTTAGTATAGTGATATAGTTGTCATAAAAAATATGCATAACAGGCAGGTCACTTGTACTTTTCAGATTTCTAGACAGATTATTGAGATTAAATGTATGTGATGATATTCGTTATCGAAGAATTTTTAAAATATTGCCGGCAATCGTTGTTGAAATTGCGTTACATGTTTAAGAAGCAAAAGTATATAAATAAAAATTCTTTTTTTCAAAAGTAGCGTAATGTAAATTTAAAATTGAATGTGAAAGTAAATATATAAGTTACTAAGTATATACATAAGTTATTATTATAAGTTAGTTATTATTATAAGTTATTAAGTAAATACATAAGTTATATAAACAAGACTAGACAAAAATCTGTCTCAAACAAACAAAAAAGGTTATGTATAATATAGAAAAGATCCTCGATAAGATATTTCGACTGATCGTATTGTATAAAATTATAGATCGGTTAGTCTTGTCCATCAAAATACGACACAAATACATATCGTAAAATCGTTAATTTTTTGCTGTCTGTTTTCGTAAATACACACAGTAGTTTTTAGACTTTCGCACCTGCGAACGAGTTCCAGAGACGTTCCGCTGACCCTAAAAAGGAATTGGTGGAACGAGGCGTAGGATGAGAGCAAGCTAAAGCGGCCGACCCACGCTCGATCATCGCTGTGTGGATTCACTGTCACATGGCCTAAAAGCTGTCTGAATATAGGATAAACCTGTCACACGGCGTAGATCCTTTTCCACGATAACGAGAGAACCATGGGACCACCGTCCTGCCCGCAATGCGTCGCACATTTTACATGTAACGTCGGTGTTCGAGCTCCAAAAATATTCGTCTATCGAAATTCGATTCCTCTCCTTCACAATCAACGCGATAATCCAAAGTTCAGCCGAATCATATTTCATGCATTATTAACAATTTTCCATGGATACATCACTCAAGGAAATGAGATAAATTATATCGCACAGCGATGTTTTTATTGTATTAATTATTTATATTCTATTAATACGATGTGATTCCACTTTAAAATATTTTCAATCCTATTAATCCCACTTTAAAAACATTCCACATGGTAACGTTATAAAAAAAAATCAAGTAAAACGAGATTAATCCATATATGACGTCACGTTTATCGAACTACATTGATTGATCTTTTCTTCATTTCAAATTGTAGACTGACGAGCGATAATGAGGAATAAAAAAACAACCAAACTCCGCGGTCTTCAAGGCAAAAGTCCGTTGATTGCTTAAATATTAGCCTTCGATTTCTTTCAAGATCGACAATCGCTGATTGTACCGCTCGTAAGCGTCGTATGATTCAATTGCGAAAAGTGGCGAGGCAGAAATAAAATTGCGTTATCGGGCGCGACCAGCAGCGTTTCGCCATTCGCCGACACGAGAATGTGACCATTTAAGATCGAGCCCGCCACCTTCTCTCAATTCATAGTAAAGTGTCGAGTTCACCTTCGGTGACGGTGACGCTTACGCTCTAGGTCGTTTAGATTTCACTTCGGAGCTGTTACCGTCGCATCAGGAAATTGCGTTTCTTTCCTCTCCTCACGCGCGATACATCGCGATTTATTGCGCGATCGACGGAGGATCGTAATCGCGATATCGCTGTAACATGTAACGCGCCTCTATTGCGTTTCCGATGAGACAGGCTCGTTTGCTTTAATTATTTGCCGCGTCTACACCGCGGCTGTTTAATGTTTATATCGTCCAGGGGGAAGTAATTGCTCGACGTATAACGACGACGTCCAATTGGAATCCATAGAGCAGCTTTCATACCGAGCCGATCCAAGATTGGCGGAAAGTGGACGTGTAACGCGATTACTTGTCCATTAAGCCAATAAGCCATCAAGTCCATTGTCCATCTCAAATTAGCGGAGCTCCTTTCATAAATTCTTTTGTAACATGCTTCCTGCCTGCGCAACGACGGCGCACGTACGATTTAATCGCATTAACGGTATAACGCAATTTTTCATGGGTCACGGAGGAGCAGGCCACCACGTCACTTTCTATTAATTCAGGTATCTCCCCGGAATTAATATAGTCGCACGGATTATATTCCCCAACCGTCTCTAAGTGATTATCCCCGACCCACGTTCTCGCGCGATTAACAGCTACGATGATGTGCGCTCTTGGCGATAAACCGTGAGCGAAAATTACAGAGCGACGTGACTCTTAAAAACGACGATTGAAATCCTGTTATATCGTGGCCGATAAAGCTCGCGTGTTGCTTTCCACGACTCGTAATCGCGGAACGCGCGAGTAAAGTTTGAAGAAGAGGAGAGCGGAAAAGGGGAAAAAAAAAGAAAACGCGTACCTCGTAACTCTCTGCGTGGCACCGCCTAAGACCGAGCCTTCCTCCTTTAAACTTGGATAAATCTGCAACAGAAGTAAGCGTGAATGTTGTGCTCGTCGTTCCCTACGAAAGTTTAGACTGAAAGAAAAATGTGATTTTCATTAGTAACCAAACGAATATGTACTTCCATCCTTATATCTAACATATATAGAACATCACGAAGAAAAAATTGAGATATAAAGTATTTTTACAAAAAAATAGTTTTACATAAAAAAAAAAAAAAAACAAGCTCACCACGCTTTTCTCATCATTTTGATATTTACCAATTAATATCTTGACGATGTAAAATACGACAAGGAAAATTTAAAATACCACGTATTCAGCTTTACAGGACGAACGATTATTTTATAGCGAAAAATATCTCTACTTTAGAACAGCGACAATAATGCAGCATGAAATAATTACGTGCGATTAAACCAGGTGATCCCATTGATTTTATTTCGTCGATGGCTTAAAGGTAGCACCATCGAGGATTAATAAGTCATTACGAAGTATAATTACTTCGACGCGCCCTTAGGTCGGGAGAATGCGAGGGCAATTCTCCGGGCAGGCGTTGAGACGCGAGGTAGATGAAGGATCGTCGAATCGATCGCATGGGGAGCCGATTAAGCTAATTCGTATTACCTGCCTCATCGGCTCGTTTACCCGACCGAGAACCATAGATGCAACGATTGTGCCGTTTTGAAGAACTTTTCCGAAAAGTTTATGCGTTGGCAAAAAATCTACTTTCGCGACCGGCGGATTAAAGATCGCTCGTAAATTTTGTAGATAAAGTAGCCGCATCAATTCTTTTCTTTTTTTTTTTTTATTCTTTCAGCTTACTCTTACAATTCTGAAATCTCGGCACTCTAGAGTGTTGGTGGATGACTGTCATAATTCTTTCGGAAGAAACAGAATTCCTCCTTGCAAGATATTGCTTAGAAGAGGTTTGACTGTGAAAAATGACGTTTTCATTAAAATATGCGTAAAATTTGCTTAAAAATAAGAGATATTTCTCTAAGAGAATTTTAGACGTGCACAATTTTAGAAGTATCTCTCAATGACGTACGTACGTAATTGACGTAAATACGCGTTACGATTTGAAAATTAGAATCCAAATCGAGCACAATTAGTAATCCAATTAACACTCTATATTCAATTAGTGTCAGTCTGTTACAGCTACATTTATTCCTTAATGAAATTAGAAATCATTAACAAAATTAGAAGCGTTAATGGAATTAAGAGCGTCCGTTTAATGGACAAACTAAAACACATTTTATATCTGAGAATATGCTGGCTAGGTGTTTTGGCTAATAATAATAATAATAGTTAAATGATCGTGTTATCTTTCAATTTACTGGCATATGCCTCGGGAAGACGATACGACCAATAAGCTTAACAGAAACACGACTTGGTCCCTGACACTCTTGTCGAAGGATTACACAATCGGCGGCCATCCTGTGCGAATCACGTTGCATAATACCCTTTGTATCCTCGCGGGACGCGAAAACACGATGGCGTGCAGGAGGTGTGAGTAAGCACCGGCGAGCTCAATACCGTTTCGTCGTCTTTACGATCGGCCTTCGATCGGCTACGAGATATCTCAGATGGCTCGCCCATGTGTGACGTGTCCGTCGTTCTCGGCACGTTGAACAATTATTTCCTCTATGTATCAACGATACATAGTCGCGAATATACGCGCGAGATTTGCTCGGCGTCGTGCGAAGAAAAAAAAGAGCTTTATCTTTTTTCTTTCTTTTTTTTTTGTGACAAAATCTCGCAGAAGGATATATTTAGGCTTTTAGTAACTCTCTCTCTGAGTTTCTGACAAAAGTGGGATACGTTATCGGGTGTGGATAGGATAATGACATTTCGAACGCCAGGCCAATTTGTTCGATATGTCCGGAAGGAAAAAAAAAAAAAAGAGCGAACGGACAAAACATCGATCGGAATTGGTGCATAGCGGGGAAGGTCGTTCGCTTCACGCCACAATGATTTTGGCAATTCGAACGCGTCAGACGAACTCTGAGCAAACGTCATTTTTCGCCAATTCTGTTCGCATTCGAGAGAACGACGCGAGTCAGCGGACATGTATGATTTTCCCTTTTTATTTACAGCTGTCACATCAAATACGTTTCCATCTTCCCGAAATAAAAAAAAAAAAAAAACGAGAAGAAGAAGAAAA